AAATAAAAAAAAAAAAAAAAAAAAAAAAAAAAAAGACCTTGGTTCCACACTGGAAGAGTTGAGTTTCATCTGTAGGGCACAGGGCAGCAACTCCAGAAACTGATCTGACGGGCCCAGTGGGCCCCTGACTCGGGAGCACGCAGGAGGATGGAGAGCAGCTTGCCCGAGGTAAGCCTCGAAAGGGAAAAGGCCCTCAGAAGAGGCAGAGGGAAATGAGGGTTTTTTTAATTTTTTTATTTTTTTTTTGCCACTTTCCTGCTTGGAGGCTGCCTTCAGGCAAAGGAACAAGGATGTTTGAAAAGTTAACATCATAAAAATTAAAACTGACTGTGGATATTAGCTGGGCAGCACATCTTGGAATCTGCCAGCACACTGCACCATCCTCAGGGCTCCCTCCCTGGGCTCTGCCCACAGCCCGGCCTCCGGTCACACACGCCACTTTCACAGCTCAGCCCTCAGCAATGGCAACCTCAATTCGTATTCAGGAGCCGACTGAGTATTTCTCCTCTTTTATGAAGAACTTAGAAAGGTGTCTTTATATCCCTTCCCTTTTTTCTTTTCAAAGGCTCTTTCACTTTAAGGGACTCCATTTGTACCTTAAGTGGAAGGTTCATAGTCCAGGGATGGAGCCCCAGAGGCTGGGTCTCAAATCAAAAAAACAAAACAAAACAAAACAAAACAACAACAACAAAAATACCAAACAGTGCCAGAGCAAAGCCTACCTTGTTCATTAGGGGTGTGATTTTTTTAAAAAGAGATTTGTGCCTTAGGGCACATGTGCTTGCGGAAGAGAGAGAGAGAGACAGAAAGTGAGAAATCACCTCCTAGGGGCAAAGGCCATGCCGCAATCCCCTCTCTTCCATTCTCCTCTCAGGATTTTGGGCATGCATGCACATGCTCCTGGAATGAGTTTCAAGCTGCAGAGATGCAAACCGTGGTTGACCATGTGAGTCCAGCGCCTTTACAACTACGCCACCTGCTGGCCGTTGGTGTGTGGTATTTTTAACCTGTGGTCCTTACATCAGGATCCTGGGGCAGGCAGGACTTAAAGAGCAGGTAACTTGGCTGCTGACTGTGACTCCTTGCCAGGGACATGGGAAACTATAGTAACAATCACAGTTTGGGCCAGACCTGTAGCCTAGTGGTTAAGGAAGCCATATCACACATGACCCAGCAGTTTGA